GATGACAATTATTTTCCTTTAAGCCGTTCTTCTTTTTTTATTATATTTATTTTATCTTAACTTAATGTAGCTTACACTCTTTTCTGTGACCATCATTCTTCAATCGGCATTATATTGACAGCATTAGCAGCTATATGTTTAATGCTATCTAGCTACTTTGGCTAGGTTTCATTGTTCGGCCAGATGTGGCGAGAAAGTGCGAGTGAGAAGACCGACAGAGGCTGCGTTGATATACAGTCTCTTACAGTGCAAATACGTAACTTACTCGCACTAAAGTTATTAGTAGTACGTGTACACTACAGTTTACCTGTTTCTGACTAAAACATCAGCCACTACTCTATACTTTCAAATATTATATTGTGTAGAAGGGAGATTTCATATCTGCCTCTTGTCGCTAAGGCAACTTGTGTATGTGAGATGCAGCGTCACACACGGCACGTTAGGCCTTCCCAGAGCCCTAGAGATACTAAAGAGTTACGACACTCCCATAGACCTCCGTTGTAAAAAATGGCGGCTCCTACTTCCGGGGTATGGACATCAAAATAGTTCCAATATTGTCATTTGGGCGTTGGACCTCATTCACTTACATTACGGCGCGTCGATTAGTTCCAGAGGTAAGTTGCTGAAATATCGAACTCTTTTGAATTGTCAACTGTCTATATTGTATCAGAGGCCCTTTATGATGCTTATACTGGTCTTCATTTGTATATGCACAGTGTAATTATCTATATTTTATCTTGGTTGTTACAACCAATTTTGCTAGCATTGCCTGCTAGTTATCTAGCGCGACTTCGTCAGCTTTGAAGGTAAGATTTCAGTAATGAATCGCTCGCAGCTTATATATCAATGATGCTGGGTAACTAACAAGCAGGATTTAGATTGATTATGTGTTTTTATTGTTATTTTGGTTTTGATCTGCTGAACCTGACCGTGTCAGCCATCCTTAGTCGGCTTTTTCTGTATGATATGACTTAAATGCTAGCACTAGTAGAAATGAGGTGGCGTTTGTGATAAATATTTCATTTAATATTTCATTGAATTTTGGGATAAACTAACATTTCATTGTGTGACATGTTGACTGTACTTAGTTTTTTTTTTACTGTTCCGTGTTAACTCATCTGTACTGTACAACTAGCCTAGTGCTACTTTTGAATGCTTGATGGCATGCTAGGATAGATTCCTTTGTATTGTAATATACACACTAGTTTAATGATTGTTCTTCAAAGGTATTATTCAGTCTTAAAAAAATAATAGCCTACTGAATAGGCTACTCTACAGCAGTGAATGAAGGATGAGCCTAAAACATGATCATGCATCTAAAATGTTTGTTTTTAACAAAATAAACACTTTTTCAAAAATAATTAGCACTTTTTTTTATTCAGCCTCATATGTCAGCCATGGCTGTTGCTGTTGCTGCTGGAGGAGGCTGCTGCTGCCGGAGGGTGCTGCTGCTGGAGGAGGGTGCTGCTGCTGGAGGGTGCTGCTGCTGAAGGAGGCTGCTGCTGAAGGAGGGTGCTGCTGCTGCTGCTGGAGGGTGCTGCTGCTGGAGGGTGCTGCTGCTGGAGGGTGCTGCTGCTGAAGGAGGCTGGTGCTGGCAACGGCTGCAGGTGATGACTGCTGAAAGAAGAGGAGGCTGCTGACGGTGGACCGGGAATGGAGATGCCAAGTACATAGATGGCAACGAGTAAGGTGTTTGGCAGTGGCCTAGATGTTATGACCTTCGGTGCAGAGGTCTGTTGGGTCTTCTTTGCCTTCTTACTCTGACTCTTGCTGCCAAGATACCCTTTATGTTTTTCCTTCCTCTCATCCCTGATGCACTTTGATGCAATCCTTAACCTCAGCCTGATGTATGTTGAGAGGATTTTTTTCTTCAGGTCATGGCATGAGAGAAGGTTGCTGTCCAGCAACATGGCTTCTTGTTCAAGCTGTGACACTGTATTTGAGGACTACATGAGGGAATCGCTCGTCCTCACACGGAACAGCTGCTCCACGTTCTGAACAAGGGTGAAAACCTCATCAGATGGACGGTAATCTGGCTCTAATTTGGTCTGTGTTGAAGATTTTTTTAAACTTTAGATTAATGAAATTGTGTTTTTTTTTTAAAATGCCGAATTAATCCTTTTCCGGTTTACCAGAGCCCTCTCTGCTCTCTTTCTTAGTAATCTCTCCCTTCTCAGTTGCCTCATTAGATCCTCCACGTGAGCCCGGTCACAACTGGCCCTTGGCAGTCTGGTCCCTGGAACACCTGACCCTGGCAAACTGGCCTCTTCATAGCTGACCCCTGACTGACTGGCTCCTGGCACACTGATCTTTGGTAAGGTGGCCTCTTGATTGTCAGCCCCTGACATACTGGCCCCTGGCAGACTGCTGACATCTGTCTCACTCTCTCTGTCTGTTATGTCCCTTTCATTCCCTTGGAACTCCACCTCAATATCTCCCTGAATCTCTGTAACAATAACAACGCAATCTTGCTGTTATATGTGTATGCTGCCTTTACATGTGCACCTATTGTCATTTAAGGGTACACTACACTCCTATAGTGACATTCATCTAAGTTCGTCTATTGGCAATGTTAAAGTATGAAGAAATCTGTAGATTATCTACATGTGGTATATGAGTCTTCAGAGAATCCCTGAACCCTGGTAGTTTTGAAGCTGTATAATCTGAAGGTTGCATTAGGAGTGTAGTCTATCCTTGAATTATATAACATGGGAAACATTGTTAGCTTCATATATCATACCAATGTTTGATGTGCCATAATAGGTGTGGTCATCATTCCTGACATTAACAGCTGGAGGCATACTCCTTGACTGTTGTTGTCTGTTGACCATTGCCATCCATCTGTTCCTTCGCTGTACGTCCTTAGGGGAGCCATACATCCGGAACCCCTTCTCGGATCGATTAGAGCATCCAAATGCTTGTTTTACACTTTAGATCAGGGGTCTCCAACCTTTCTTCATCTGAGAGCTACTTTGAAAAAATGAAAGTGGCCAAGAGCTACTTGCATCACATCGCTTACTTATTCACATAGCCCTTATCAGTTGAATTAAGCTATACTTTTGTACACGTACGAAATTGCAATACCTAAAGCTTATCACAAATCTTAACTTCACATCAAAGTCCAAGAAAACGAAAATGTCTCACATATTATTATGGCCCACATAGTAAGTAAGTCACTGAAAATTCACATAAATGTCCTTAATCACCACCTGACAAGCATCGTATGCACTTATGGTCAAATAAGTGCATTCACTCTTTTTTACAGTTAGTGAGATGAATGGCACTGCATGGAGTCCACCATAGAGGTGTATGCTGGAGTGTACCCACTTAGGTTCACTCTAATAGAGTCATTTACATGTTCATCAGTCAGTCTTGTTCTGTATTTAGATTTCATGACATTCATGCCAGAAAAAGCTGCTTCACAAAGGTCTGTAGAACCAAATGAAGCAGACGTGTTCAGTGCTGCTTGGTGAATGTTCTTATAGTTTTATGGGTCTACAAGGCTCCAGAAATGTTGTGAGTTTTGCTGAGACTTAAGCTGAACATGATTTTGGAGATGGATAACCTCCATCTCCACAGGATTGACACTGAACAGTTCAGCCATCTTTTTCATCTTCTTCTTCGTCTTGACATGAAATTATAAACCATAATAAATCAACTGTAGGTCTAGCCTCCCTATATCTGTGTGTGAAATTGTTCCATCCTCAAAAACAAAAAACTAATGCTTCTGCAGTCTAGCTGCAGCTTCTAGCTACGGTCTTCTGTTAAAAAAAGGATACTGAATATCCTGAATGTGGCATCACACACATGACTTAAAGGGCCCATTGCATGCTTTTCCGGTTATTACCCATCTCCTTGTGTGTTATGAAGGTGTCCATGCATGTAAACAGTCTGCAAAGTCAAAACCCCTCAAAGTACACCCTGTAGGGAGTACAACACTAACACAGAAAATACCTCCCCCAAAAGCCTCGTTGGAGATTTCTCAGTTTACATTGTTTACTTCCTGCCCCGCATGACGTAGCTGCACCGCGTGACGTCACTTCCTCTGCCAACCGACCATATTAAGTGTCGTAAAACCTGCTTCTTTTCAAAGCTCTATCCAGTCATGTCGCGGAGGGTCTGTTGCCTGTCTTGTGTGGAGAAATCCACAATGTTTGCAGTACCGAAGGCAGAACCACGACGAAGTCAGTGGTTGACATTCCTTTTTAACACTGTTCCAGCTGATTTACCAGCCGGTACTGTTGTGTGTGCGCGGCATTTCACGGACCAAAGCTTTAAAAACGTAACAATGTTTAGCTTCGGACTTGCAAAGCTACTTTGTTTGGACCAGCGGGAGATTTGGGTACACAACCTGTAAGTATTCATTGTGGTTTGTGTATTTATTCGGTTTAAAACAAACAATGTATCTACCACGACTGTGTAAATGCTATGCTAATGCTATGCTACCGAGGTAAACACGAGGGCTAACGAGCATTCCCAGACCTCAACACCGATGTTAGCACATGGCCTTACATGTATCTCATAGCAGGAGAATGTCTGCAAACACACACGAAATACTCAGACAGTATACTCCGGGTGATTTAACCGTACGGTCAGTAATTACAGTTGCCGTTCGTGTATTCTACTGAGCTACCATTAATAAGCTAGAAGCTCTAACCTAGAGATGTTATGAAAAACATTGTTTTCATGCCAGCTACAATGAATGACCGAACGTAGCAGACTAACTGTATAATATTGCAATTGTAAGATGTTCTTGCTAAGCCTAGACTAGCTGTTAAACTGTATATTAGGTTAGCATATTAGCTGGCAAGCTAAATGTGTTGATTACTGATAGATAATCATAGCTGGAGAATTTCGTCTGCAAACACACACGAAATACTCATAGACAGTATACTCTGGCTGATTTAATGTACGGTCAGTCGCCAAACATAATTACATTGAAGTTGGCGGTCCTAGCAGCTATGCTACTGAGCTACAAAGAGTCTGAAATATTACGCTACATGGGAAAAGGTAGCAGACTATCTGTAGAACATTGTAATTGTAAAAGTGTTGCTTTTATGAAATTGACTGTTTTCCTCGGATACAAAATTAATTGATTAATTAATACTATGTGTATCTTTCTTAGAGTACATCACAGCAGGAACACAATACCCACCGCTCCAGTACAGTCGGATGTCAAACAGACTGTCCACAGACTGTTTGTGTGGGAACTCAGAGGGTTGAGACACGGTCTGTGGGAACACAGACAGTGGAATGTAAAGTGTCCGCCATTTCTGTTGCTACACAGTTGGCCCGGGGAACACTGAAATCGGCACATGTGAGAAGCAAAGGTAGACTATAACACTGACAAATCACAGATACATTACCTTAATTGTGCTTTTATTACATGTACAGCACTTGGGCTCGACCAAAAATATTTTTCAAATGTGCTCTATAAATAAAACCTTATTTGATATTATTGTATATCACAGAAATACTGTTATGTTGACTACAAGAAATACAGTGCTGTTTGTAGTTTGTACATTTTTCATGAATTAATCTGTCAGATGTACACAAGTTGTTGGCCTTTTACAATGTATTAGTGTCTTATCTAATGTACATAGTATTTATGCACTTTTCCCTTTTTATTAACAGGCATCCAGGCCACGGTGTCTTTCAAAAGTGTTGGCACTAAAACTTCCACCTACACAGAAATCCCCTTGTCCTCTACACCAATAAAGGGCCCAGGATTGGGACCTCACAAGAGACCTCGACTGGAGTTGGAGGAGGAACAAGGAGAGACGTCGACAGAATTTGAGGAGACTCTGGGTTTGAGTTACCACCCTGATGATACTGTTGAAGAATGCGACGTATCGTAAGTTTGGTACATTTGGTACACATTACTATTACTGTTTTTCAGAGTTGAAATGTAAAAGTTATTGTTAATTTTTTTTTGTTACATTAGACCACAGGCACAATCCACGCACCGTGACGTAAAGTACATTGTTTTTGAAAGCTGCCTCAGACAGCTGTTTGAAAAATGTCCGGTGTGTAAGACAGACTGTGATGTCCAAACAAGAAAAGTGGGGACCTATGTGGCGTTCACACAGCGTTGTTCAAACTGCAGTTACTTCAGAAAATGGGAGAGCCAGCCCGTCATCGGAAGTACCCCGATTGGCAACTTACAATTATCCGCTGCTACATACTTCACTGGGGGTTCCTTCTTCCAACTACGAAAGGTATTTTACCATCTCTAACATCTATAGCATATGAAAAATGACAGCAGTGGACTTTTTCAAAAACGGTTCCTTTTTTTCTATTTATTATAGATATGCAGAGCCATGCAGCTGGAGATCATCGGGTATGGGACCTTCAGGAGGCATGCTAAGAGTTACCTGGAGCCTGCTATTATCCACAAGTGGAACACTGATCAGCAGCAGAATTTTGATAATCTACAACAACAGGGGGGAAAGGTCGCAGTTGCAGGAGATATGAGAGCCGGAGAAGGTGGCAAGGTGGACGTCACTGGTCAACCACCTACAAAACGTTCACGTGCATGATGACCCCCTGTTCCCCAAGTGCACACATCCTGTAGGAGCCGCAAGCGATGCAAATACACCTTACCTAAAAGGTGGTAAGTTCAATATTTCACTTCCTTCATAAGATCAACAATATAGAATGTAAATATAACATTGTTGTTATGGCAAATTATTATTGTAATGTGCTGGTGATTTACCTAATGTCTTTGTCATTTTACTCAAGGCTCAATAACACTCGCCAGAGTTGAAACGATACTCACCAACAAGAGAGTTCTCAAAGATGTGCTAAAGCTAAGCCATCACTACCAGACCTCATCCCTGGAGTCCTTCCACAACTTAATTCTGCGTTTTACCCCAACAAATGTGGTTTTCCCCTTCATTGGAATGTTGTGCAGGTAATACACTGTATACTTTATTCTGTAGCATCTTATAACACAGTCACTGTTTAGTGGCATGAGGGTTTTATTCTGTCATAACACAAAGTCTCATTTTATTTTGCTCTTTTCTATAGGTTGTGTCTAGCAGCAATGCATCACAACGAGAATGCTGGGCGTGACCAAGCGACAACTGCTGCAGGAAAACTTGTCTTCAAATTGGCTTATCCAAAATCAAAGAGGGGAGAGTGTACGGTCAAGCCTGTTAAGAACGACCCTACATACAGTAAGTTGTGAAATATTTGTTTTTATTTTTATTATTATTAACAGAACTTACATTTCAAATGATTAAAGATACAATGAACAATAAAGTATTACATTAAATACAAAAAGTGAATAACAATAACAAATTATTTATACAATGCTTTCTTTTTCAGTCTATGTGGATGAGCTGACGAGGCTTGTGTTTCACAAAGTCTTTCTGGACCCTACACCCTTTGTGGACGAGCTGAAACGAATCCACGTCCCAGAGGACCTGTCAACTCAATTTGACAGGCCCCCCAAGGAGGAAATGATTGTCAGCCGTTTCTCCCGTTTCCCCCCAAAGGAGGTCGAAATCCTACATATTGTCCAGCCAGATCTGGAAACTCCTGGCGGATCCGGAGCACAACACACGACGGAATCACCACTCTGATGCCTCGCCCTAAATATCCCCAGCACCAGCTTACAAAGCTGCGATACGCAAGATATCGAAAACGCCTATCAGGAGAGGAATGGATGATGTACAGTGTATAAATATACATTCACACATTTGTACATTTGTAAAAATAAAGTTTGATGGAAATACTTAGTAGCCTTTCTTTCCTGAATTATTTGCTCCTATAACATATCATTCATATATAGCAAACCATGATTTGATTTTTCATCAAACGGTAGTAGTTTATTACAGATAACAATAACTTACTCTTCTTCAGTTGTATTTGTCAAAGGTCCGAAACTGTATTTATAAATATTGTGGAGATTCTGCAGGGTGTATGGGTTCAAGCAGTTAGGCTCTAGTCCTGGGTGGTCAACCATGCAGTTAATGGGTTCTGGAACTTGCTGCATGCGTGTTACAACCTATGAAGGTAAGATGTGTTACAAAACACGTTTAGCAATTAAACCAACTATGGGAAATGTTTACAAAATAAACATTCAATTACTAAGGAAGTAATAAAAGTAAATTGACTTGAAAAATATGTATGCTGTATATCTTGGTATATGTGTGCTACTGTTGGTGTTTTCAGCTAGCTGCCGACATAATGTAACTAAGCTAGGCTACCTTTCTTATGCTATTGCAGCACACGTATTCTCCGTCACTTGGCATCAAAGCGCAGTTTCCACAACGGCACCTAAATAACAACAGTTGTAGGTACATCTGATGACATCTGAAATGTAAGACATATACTAGATAAAAACTTACTACAATGACACTGTTTGGTCTGCTCTAGTGAACGGCGAGGCAAGACTCGCGATTTGGTCTATTCTAGGATCGAACGGATTTCTCTCACGTGTGAACTGTCATAAGACTTATTCATTGTCCTCTCCATCGGCTTCTGTTTCCATGTGTTCAGCTGAGCTGCTGATTGGAGGCTCTGCCTCTCCGTTATTTTCATTAAGCTGTGAGGACTGACGACCAACACACTTGTGCCTTTTGAAAACACCATGCCATTTAAATCTTTTGTCACAAACATTGCAGCTGTATATTTTCTCTCCTGTGTGGACTCTCATGTGTTCCTTTAAATTTCCACTCTGTGAAAAAGCTTTCTCACAAACTGAGCATTTGAATGCTTTCTCTCCTGTGTGGATTCTCATGTGTTTCTTTAAACTTCCACTCTGTGAAAAAGCTTTCTCACAAACTGAGCATTTGAATGCTTTCACTCCTGTGTGGATTCTCATGTGTTCCTTTACAGTTTCCTTCCGTGAAAAAGCTTTCTCACAAACTGAGCATTTGAATGCTTTCTCTCCTGTGTGGATTCTCATGTGTTCCTTTACAGTTTCCTTCTGTGAAAAAGCTTTCTCACAAACTGAGCATTTGAATGCTTTCTCTCCTGTGTGGACTCTCATGTGTTTCTTTAAACTTCCACTCTGTGAAAAAGCTTTCTCACAAACTGAGCATTTGAATGCTTTCTCTCCTGTGTGGATTCTCATGTGTTTCTTTAAATGTCCACTCTGTGAAAAAGCTTTCTCACAAACTGAGCATTTGAATGCCTTCTCTCCTGTGTGGACTCTCATGTGTTTCTTTAAACTTTCACTCTGCGAAAAAGCTTTCTCACAAACTGAGCATTTGAATGCTTTCTCTCCTGTGTGGATTCTCATGTGTGTCTTTAAACTTCCACTCTGTGAAAAAGCTTTCTCACAAACTGAGCATTTGAATGCTTTCTCTCCTGTGTGGATTCTCATGTGTTCCTTTACAGTTTTCTTCTGTGAAAAAGCTTTCTCACAAACTGAGCATTTGAATGCTTTCTCTCCTGTGTGGACTCTCATGTGTGTCTTTAAACTTCCACTCCGTGAAAAAGCTTTCTCACAGACTGAGCAGCTGTGTGCTCCCTCTCCTGTGTGGATTATCATGTGTTCCTTTAAATGTATATTCTGTGAAAAAGCTTTCTTACAGACTGAGCAGCGAAAGGGTTTCTCTCCTGTGTGGACTCTCATGTGTTTCTTTAAATTTTCACTCCGTGAAAAAGTTTTCTCACAGACTGAGCAGCGAAAGGGTTTCTCTCCGGTGTGGATTCTCATGTGTTGATCTAGTTTTTTTCTATATCTAAAAGCTTTCTGACAGACTGAGCAGCTGAATGGGTTCTTTCCAGCACTACGTCGGGGATCACTGACAGATTCTTGTCTATTTTTCAGTGAGTTTGAGCCTGAGGCAGGTTCTCTGGTCTCCTTCCAATCAGCACTGTCTTCAGTGTCAGGTTCAGAAGAGTCATCAGTGTCTTCAGAAGAGTCTCCAGTGTGGTCCTCAGTCTTTGGTTGTAAACTGCTCTCTGGATCTGAGTTGCTGGCTGGTTCTGGTCCTCCACAGTCCTCTCCATCAGCTTCTGTTTCCATGTGATCAGTTTGTCTTTGATGAGGCTGAGAGGACTGAGGTTTCTGTTCATCATCTTCACTCTTCACAGGGTCAGGAGTGAAAGTGGACTTGGTGATATCAGCCTCCTCCGGCTCCTGAAGCTGCTCTCCCTCCTGTTCCTGCTTAATGTGTGGGGGGGGCTCTGGGTCCTCCTGGTCCAGACTGGTGCTCCCCTCCTGCTGGTCAGGGAGAGGCTCTTCTTTAACCACCACCAGCTGCTGGACATCTGCTCTGTGTATCTGAAGCTGAGGCTGTAAAACAGCGTCCAGTAGCTTCTGGAGTCTCTCGTTCTCCTCTTTGGAAAGAGACAGCTCCTCCTCGAGCTCTGCTATCGTTTGTTCAAACAGAGCAAATATCTCTTCAGCAGCAGCAGTGAGTCGCTGCTTCTTCAACAACAGCAGCATCTGGACTTTACTCATGTTTCCTAGATCACCTTTCCCTGCAGACTCCGTTAAACACACCGTTTCTCTCTCCGTTAAACTCTCAATCTGACTAGTGTTGCTAACATGTTTCCAGCTAGCATGCTAAGCTAGCTCCTATAGTCCGAGGTAAACGCTCCAGAAAAAAGAGCACAGAGTCCATTCAGAGGTTTATCCAGACACACAGATGATGGATCAGTAGAGCTGGAGCTCACACACACTTTCTCAAGAACACAGAGAGAGAGAACCGTAGCGACGAGACGCGGCATCTAGGGCTCGAGTTATGTGTGAGCCAATGGGAGCTGAGCCCCGGTCTTGCCTCTTCCTGATATATTGGATTTCTCGGGTTTTTGCAGAGGAAAACAAGACACTTCTTTGGTGTTTCAGAGCATCGTCTGCTGCGCTCTTCAGTCTGTGGGACAGAAAACAGAGTTTGAGTTAGTTAACAGAGACTTTGAAAACCCAAAATCTTTTACACCTTACTATTCTCTGTTTTTAGAAGGGCAGGGTATAGAGGATATACAAGAGTAAATAGTATATGCCACATAAAAAGGGTATACATCATGTAAGAGTTGGAAATATTAATATTAATTTAAGATGCAACTCAGCAATGTGTAACATTTTTTAAATTGTAAATCTCTAGGAAACATGGATCCATTCGAAAGATTTTACAAGCGCGTAAAGGCTTCGAACATTATGGTAGTTAATCTTTATCATAAGATCTGATAAATTGTTCAGGCAATCTTTGAATTTTTAAAGACCCAATAAATTATGAAGAATTGTCAAAACCTCTCGAAAAAAACCAATGAAGAAGCCATGACCTTGAGCTTAAGTAGTACACCATAGAAACTTTTGACAGGGGACAATTTCTATCGTAATTGCATTTTTCGGTGATTAACCTCTTAACCTGTTAAGCCCCAAGCCTGTTTTTCAGGTCTCAGACTCGAAAATGACATTCCCAGAACAAATGACCATATATTTTCTTCTAAAAGGGTTAGATTAATAATCTTTTTTCTCAAAGCAAGGTTACACCCGTGAGTATGATGTAGAAGTGTCAGAATCAATATATATGTTTTTATTTTAAAGTAAATTCAGATTGAACACAGTAAAAACATTTTAATTATTGTGTCCGTCCAAAAAATAATAATTACTT